TCTTGGTGCAGAAATACCACTTTTACTGGCGTCATAAAAACGGGATCGATGAATAAAATCTTTCGTCAATAAAAATGACCTTTACTGATATAATTATGTGTAAAAATGCATTTCCCAATCATGAATGATAGAGCTGTTTCAAATGAATAAACAATTATGTTTTGTATTTAAGTTGGCATTTAATTTCATAACATAAAAAATAGTTAGCTCTAAAGCGTGTTTGTTTGAGATGCTTAGTTTTTTCTAAAATAACTTTTTTTTATTTAACTTTCAACTTTTAAAAATAAATCATTGATAGTTTCGTCTTTAGTACACTCTGACTGCAACATGAGGTTGTAGATCTCTTTCAGAGATTGTCAAAAAGAAGTTTATAAATTAGTCACAAATATTTTGAATACATTTGAGTCTACTAATTTGTTTTGTTAATATTTTTTGTTTTGACACTTTATCGTGTTTCTTTATTTGACCTTTTCTGCATTTGGTGTAGAGGTTGTCACTGGAGGAGGTTTGGATGGTCTCTTTTACAGGTTTTCTTCACCAAAAAGTATATCCCAAAAGTGGTCACAAATAGAGGAAGTTTTTTTACTGGAGGTTTCACTGTAACTACAAAATTATTTACAAAGAAAAAATATTATTTGTGTCTCGAACATTAACCAATAGAAGATCTTCAAATTTCATTCACTGGCGCTTAATAGGAATGAAAATCGGCACAAGGACAAGTTTTTTTTTTGCATAATTTTATGAGTTTAATTTTGATTTTGAATTTTAAGGACTCCCAAGTATTTGTTATGAGGTTTTCAACAAAGCAATTCGTAGAAACCCTAAAATTCGTCTTGTGAAGACTATGTCAAACGCTTTAGAAAATTGACACATATGAACAATTTTTATTTTTTAGACAAAAATAATTTTTCAAAAAATAATATTTTTCAAGGGTTTGTGCTAGGTTTAAGTTTCAGCTTTTTTTAAAGTCATTTTTTTATAAGCATTCGTGTCTACTTCAAGTTGTAAATATACTTTATATTTTTTAAGGTTTTTCTTGTTTGCTTTAAGCTTCTCTTTTTAAAATTAATATGCTTTTTTAAGGTCTATGTCCCTTTTAAGAAGTTTATTTTTTTCTTCTCAATAATTTAATATATTTTAAGATTTTGAGTGTACTCTGAGTTTATTTCCAGATCCAGTAATATACTTCAGTTTCACAATAAACAGATAGAGCACTGAAGAAAATGATGCTGATCTTAGTTCCAATTATTAATACAATATTATTCAAAAGATCATCAATATAAATTTATAAAAATGGAAATAAAAAGGAAAAAAACAAAAACAACAAAAACCAAAGTTTAAATTAGTGTAATGAGTTTTTTATACAATACAATTAAATATTGTGTTCGCGAATACATAAAGAATAAACGTTTAAAACATGTAATTTAAAACTAAAAAAGTACGAAAATAAAGTCATAGTCTTATACTTGTCTACACAAACAGGATATTAAAAACGTATCATTCCTAACATGTTCGTAAAAAGAATAACACCAATAAGCAATTGGTGTTTCAGTGTTCTGTTTTTAAAACGCTAACTCCTAAATAACACTAATTACTTAGACTATTAAGTCATTTCCCTGAAAAATAGTTTTAGATAATTATAAAAATGATAAAAAAATCCAAGATAGGATTTTTTACGAATATGCTATACAGCACGGCTTTTTAAGAATAAAATCTAACAAGGCAGACAAAAGCAAGAGAAATAATTAAACAGCCTTGCATGCAATGCAATAACAAAAAAGTAACGGGTAAGTTTTATTTTTAAATAATCATTAATTAAACAACATAAAGTTCATCCAAGAACAACTTACAATCTCTACCAAACAAGCTCCAATCTCGTTCTGTTCTAAAAAATTTTAATACAAGAAAAAAAAGAAGAAAAAAACTTGAGAGAGACTTTTGTGATATTGCATTGCATGCTTCACCATTCAATTATTTCCCCTGCTTTTGCCCACCTTGTTAGATTTTATTCATAAAAAGTCCTGACACTATGTAAAAAATAGTTTTTTAATTATATTAACATATTTTTGATACATTTACACGTTTTAATTTCACTTTTACATTAAAATAATTCCATGTTTGTAATAATAACGTGATTTCTATTTTACAAATTTAAAAAAAATGCGCTTTTGCTGTTTATTTGATATTTTGAATGTGATCTCCCTTTCTCTATCTTAAAAAGACTAACTTTTTATAAAAAGATTTTACTGTAATTAAAATTCCATCCTCTAAACATACTTTAGACAATTTTGACATATCTGGAAGAAACCGGGAATAAATGTGGACAAACATTTGTTGAAATAAAATGATACAAGACTTTTTCCGTGAAATTCAAATTAAGTAATTTAATATATCTTCATGTGGCAGAAGGTGTATATTATTTTTCGTACTTTTAAAACTAATTTTAACAATTTTCAATCTTACTCAAAAGTAACGACGCGTAATTCTATACTTTGTAAGAAACATAGGATTTAAGAAACCATGGCAACTTTTGTAACAGAAAGGTCTTGTATTTCTTACTAAGAAATCATTTCTTGCAAATGAACTAAAATTAAAGTTATATTTTTATATTTAAAGATCAATTAAAATGGTTAGTTCAAATTTAGCAATCAAACATTTAATAACATTTCATTAATAAGTGGGGAATAACTTTTAAAGCAGCTTTTGTTAAAGTTTAAGTCTACGTTTATTAATAAACTAAAATTCGAAAGAGAAGTATTTTAAACTTGGGCTGTTTATTATAAATATTTTAAATTTTAAATATTTATTTTTATTATAAAACTTAGAAAATCATAATAATAAATTCCAGTTTGCAAGGCATAAATTTTTTGTTCGTATAATAAAACTTTAACAAATTACCAGTTTTAAAAAGCCGAAGACCTAAATGGCTTTAATTGTTACCAAATTAGAGTTAGAATTAGTTAATTAACTGATCGTCCAGCAAAGAGAAATTTATAAGTGAATAATAAGAACATCTTTAAAAAAAATTTTAACTACGAAAGATTAATTTCTAAAGGTTTTCCAGACGAAGTCAACAGTCAAAATAAATCAAAACATTTGAAATATGTGCCAGTTTTCTATTTGTTAAAGTGAGTTCTTTTTATCGCATAAAATTCGTAATCCTTAAACTAATAAATATTGTTCTTTTTTAGTTTAAACAAAAACAAACTCTCCTTAATAAAATTTGATACAAAATCCGAAATATAAAATAAAATATTTCGAAAAATGTACGATTATTTTAAAATTCAATTAATCGGGATTTAATAAGATTTAGCTCAAATTGAGGCCAACAGCGAGCTTTTTCTGAGAAAACTCACATTCTTTTTTTAACAAACAGCAGTTTTAAATCAGAAAATAAAGTTTTAATAGCTTAAAATGGACAATGGTGTAAAGGTTTATTCAGTTAATATTATTTTTACGTTTTTTTTTCTTCGTATTCTTACCTCTGGAACTAAACTAATTGTAAGAATAAAGAAAATCATTACACCAGTTAACACTCAAAGATAATAATCATTAAAAAAACAATTCATTATTATTTGGTTCAATTGTTACATAAAGTATTTTGAGTTATTTTTCATAAAAAGATTTAAAAATATGCAGTTTTAAACGAAAAAAATTCTAAATAACTCATTGAACCGAATTATTTCGAATTCATTATTCATAATTATTTTCTCGAAAACTATTAAACCGATTTCCTTCATACTTCATTTAACTTTTGAAATGACGGAATTTAACCAACATTTTATATTTTCTTCTAAGAATATTTTAGATTAATTTGTAAAAATGAGAAATCTTTATTAAAAATCAATTCTTGTTTGAACTACTCTCTGAATAACTGAGTTCATAGTATGTAATCATTACAATGTGAAACTTCTTAATTTTGAGAAACATCAAGATTTTCGAAAACTAAAAATATTCATAATAAGGAATACTTTTGACTGTCGATTGAGTAAAGTATTGAAATTTTATTTTAAGAGCTAAATACGTTGGGAAAAAATAAATTTCTATTGACTGTTTCATATTCTATTTAAGAGCAAAGCTCTATTTAGTTTTTTTTTAAAAAAATGTTATTACAAATTTATACCCTAATTACATTTATACCCTAATTACATTTATACCCTAATTACAACAATATAACACTAAAAAATACATTATACTTTATGACGGAAAGTAAATAAAATTATTAACTATCACGTTATATAATTGCGGCAGGCATCTATTTTAGAATTACTTCCTATTTAATTACTATTTTCTATTTTAATTATGAAAAACAGCTAATTTATAAAAAAAATACTACTAGAATTAGTTCATAACACATTTTGATTTACTATTATAAAATCAAAAATATCTTGAAAATATTTTTATTTACGAAAACAATTTAATAGATTTACTTATATTCTCCTTCTATTAAAATATAATAACACATTAAACCTAACTCATATATTTTGAAGAAAAATATAGCATTTGATTGTATATTTTATGAAATTTTTTTTTTTTGAATCTTTCAAAAATATTTAGAAAATTGTTGTATTTATAAAAAAATTGCTGATAAATTTTTTGATACTTTTCTCCCATAAAAATATACCTTATTCATAAATTTATACATATATTTCGAAGAAAAATATTGTGTTTAATTGTATATTCTATGAAACAGTGTTTTTTGCCAACAATGAGTCTGTGAGTATCAATGTTTTATTTTGATTAATTGCCGTACGTGTTATATGTGTGCTTTGTTTAATAGGGCAGAAAAATTTATTTATTTAAAACAAAATTACTAAATAATACCTTAAAATGAACATAAAATTGTTAAATCCCTTTGCGTAAAAGCATAGAAAATAAACTATTTACAAATGCAATTAGGAGAAATGTTATCTAAAACTTGTAAATTCTTACATAAGCAAAAGAAAGATGGAACAAAAATGGCTTATAAAATTTTAAAAAAAATTGAATAGAGCTCTAACCTCGATTAAATGAAGCTTCCCATTGGTTGAACGAGTACAGAGTAACATGTGATTGGTGAATAGGAAACATTGCCGTACGACTTCGGTTTCCCGTTTTCCCATTCGAGGTCTCTGTAACTTGGATTTTTCGCTTCCTAACACCTGAACAACACTACCTGTAAAAAATGGAAATTAAATGCTTCCTAAAATGAAGTAAAATTATGAAATGCTTCTAATAAGAAAATGTTATTTTAGTAATAACGCTCTTGCAGTAATTTATATTCTACATGTTTAAGACAATGACATATTTCTTTCTATTAAAAGAATGAATAAAACATTTTAATATCAACACATGTATGTTTGTGGTAGTTCAGGTCTTATAAGTTTATAACAATAATATTTTTCAACATGGAGCAAACAATTCTAGTAAAATTACCCTACTATATTTTAAAGATATTTCTGGTAAAAATAAATTCTGCAAATAAAACAAAAATATACGATATTAAAACCATTCTTTCGGTATTTTTTCCGCACACATGGTAACGGTTTTACCGTAAATTCTGGGTTTTCAAAATTATATTCTCATTGCCACACAGTTAGTAAATACAAAATTGAAAAGTAAATTTAACCAAATAAATGGTTTTTATGCCATACTCTAAGGTATCATGATAAAATTCCAAACTTTTACCCTATTTTAAAACCCTATTTGATTGTTAATTTTACCAAGATTCAATACCAAAGTGCTTCATCATCAACAGTTACCGAGCTTCTTATGGTTCCTATAGAGGAAGGAATACGGTCAACTTTACCATATTTTGGTAGATTTGAGCGAGCTTTTATTCTCATTGTAATAATAAAACTAACAATCGTAGTAACAACTTGTTTATAGCGTTAATATAACGCGTTGATACAGATTTTATAACGTTAATATGACGTATTAATAAAAGGTTTACAGCATCAATATATATTTCTAGTAATGACGTAAAATGCAATGGTCTATAATAGTATTAGGTAGTATTATCATAATTGAATCTAGTTATGCAGGCTCTTTTGATATTTGTAAGAAGTAAAAAAAAAATTTATAGCTGTGTTTAAAAAGAGAAAATATTTTCCCAATTTATAAATTTTCTATTTTTCTTGCAATTCTGTTTTTTAAAAACATAATACCCATGAGTTAAAATTGTGAAAATAAGTGCATTTTTTCTGTTATAACTAACTTATTACTTGTTATTTTCATAATTAACTTATTACTTATTATTTCGAACTTATTATTATTAACATGATTAATACACATTTTATACTGAGATACATCTAATTCACTTTCTGATTGAAACTGAAAGCTAGAGAACATTTTTAAAAAAATTAAAAATGAAGGTATGCACCTAAAGCACCTAAAAAGCAACTAAAGTAAATATTATTCCCGCAAGTTCAATTCATTATAGTTAGTTTTGTGGTCTCGGTCTTAGTTATTGCGAGCAGAGTTTAAAATTTTAAAATAAAATTTAAAATTCACCGAATTGTTCTCACCTAAGCAGACACCTAAGCATTTCGAGGTAAAAAAAAGTATGGTTAATACTATCAGAATGTGGTAAAACTTACGGCGGTTCCGAACGCCAAAAGGCTTGGTAATATTTGCCGAAACGCTTTGGTAATTATTTTGATAAAGTTAACAATAAAAAGGATATTATAATATGTAGTAAAATTTTGCGAATAATGATTAAATTTGGGTAATTTTACCATGATATCTTAGAGCATGACATAGAAGCAATTTATTTGGTTAAATTTACTTTCCAGTTTTGTATCATTTACTAGAAATTTGGTAATAAGAACTATCCTTTTGAAAACCAGATTTCCAGTAAACCTTTATAATAGTAATTGAAAAGTTACTAAATGAATAGTTTAAACACCGTATATTTTAGTTTTATCTACCAGAATTATTATTTTTGCTATAAATGCCATTAGTATACAGAACATAATTTTAATAAATTTTTTTTCTTCGGGCAGTATAGAATAATTTAGAAAAAAATTTAAAAAAAAAAACATTAAAAAGATTTATTAACTTAAACCAAATTTTCGAAATATGAGAATAAATATTCAATGCCTTTTATTTAAAAATTTGACAATGGTGTTTAAAGAATACTTTTAATTTTACAATTATTATTTCGCGAAAGTGATCTAAGTACAAGTGAAGCGATAAATTCTTACATTTAAATTACGAAAATGTTTTTAAACATTTTAGAACTTCACGGTAGTTCCTTATTGTAACGTAAAAAGATTAAATACTTTTGTTCACAAAATTTTTTGATAGTTTTCTAAATACATATAAGATGCATATTTATACTGTTTATGCACAATATTCTGATTTATTAAAGTTTTATAAATTTTATTTCCTAGCTATTTTTTCATTTATCTAAAACACTCAAATTTTAAAAATTATTTACTGATAAAATGACTGCAACTAAAAGTACATATTTTTTAATTAGAAACTGATTGTAATACTTCTGAATATTCGTATGGTGCAATAAAAGTTTTATTTTTAGCTTTCATCTGAATTAAGAAATTTCAATCCATCAAGAAACTGCTAAGAATCCTCGTCCTTGTAATTAGTAAGATATTGCGATATATAACATTACATTAGTAAATACTGATGCGTAATGATCTGCATAACGTGCCATATTTTGATGGAATGGAGGTTAATTAAGGAAGAAACTTAAATATTGCAATTAAGAAAGAAATATTGAAAACGGTAAAAAAAAAACTTAAATGTTATGTTGCTATCTGGAAAAAGAAGGTATTGTTTCCGATGATTTTTTATTTTATTTACTTATTTTACACAGAATTAAATGAGATGAAGTTCTTTACAATAGTACCCATAGATTAGACATTTGCAGAAATTTTATATGTAAAAAAACTATTTTTGAAATGTAAATATTTATATTTTGTTCATTTCTAGTAAATATTTATAGTTTATTCGTTAGTCCTAGTAGCTAATTAGAAAATGATACATTGTTTTAGATAAATATTTTACGCTTACTTGAATTAAATTAAATTGTAGTCGATAAAAGGAATAACTTCAAAGAATAATTCCTGTTTAAAAAAAGTAACAGTCGAAAATAGTATTTTTTATAGATAAAACTCCCTGCTACTTCGGAGCTATTATTTATATTATCTGGAGATTGGGTATTAATAAATTCAGCGTAACAAGATGCATAGGCATCAGTACTTCATTTTCATAGATAATTGTTTTATATGTATTAATAGGTTCAGTACAAATTTGTACATTTTACACTTAAAATTCTTACAGCTTCTAAATTACTAATGCAATTCATTGGGAAAAAACATTTTATTCAGCTTAAAACACTATATCAAAGGCAATTCAAATAGCAATCTGTAAGGCTTTGTCTTCTTTCTGCTAAAACCTAACACACGGAGATTTGAAACATTTTTGGTAGAACTTTTATGCCAGATGGTTTTATTTTATTTTGTTTCATTACCGGCGTTGAATAGCCGCCCCAATTTTGAGTTCACGACTACAAATTTTCAACCTCGAAGCCTTATAATTTGAAACCCAATCCATAAGACAAGAGAGTAATCCGCACTTGCTTTACATGGAGAGTAAAAACACGAAACCATCCACAGGTGAGGGGAATCAAAGCCATGATCTGTCTTATATTGAGAATATTTTATGTCAGCACTGTAGTTAATGTGAGCCTGGAGCAGAACTCGTAGCGACCAGCCATTGCTGGGAATCGAAACCGGTTCACCTTATTGGAAGGCGAGTGCTCTATCCCCTGAGCCACCACGGCTCCTGCCAGATGTCTGACGTCATTTGAGCTTATTACTTTACTGTACTATTTATAAAATAAAAGTTTCAAAATCTAGATCATATGTTCCTTTTTTAAAATTAAACTGCTATAAATTTGAAAAAAAAAATGTTTAAAAATCTTTTTTTTTTTTTTCAAATTTCAAAATGTTTTTGGACCATATGAACAAACCGTTGATATTTAAAAAAAGAATGACTTCTGAAATAATGTATTTGGGGATGATTAAATTCGAATCTTGGTAAATTACTAAATGTTACAAAAATTTTGATTTTTTTTTTCTTCAAAATCATGAATAAATATTTCCCATTTATGAAAACGGAATTTCATATTGTTTTGACCCTTAAGCTTTTCTGTAAACTTCTATATTTGCGAGTAAAAACTTCTATCGACTTTGAGTTCGTAAATTTTAATGAAACACACAAATATTATACTCGAATTTAATAAAAATAATTGTTTTAAAAAGTAAATATTTACCTTGTCTAACAAAAACTTGATTGACATCCAATAAAATATCACAACCACCAGCGATCATTCTTTCAGTCGCTAGGTTTTTTCGAATATTTTCGGTTTCACTTACTTCATCGTGCATTTGCTAAAAAAAAGAACAAAAAAATTACCTTCATTTTTAATACAATACATTTTTAAACATTATGAGAGGAAATTATTGAAGCTTTCTCACAGAAAAAAAATCTTTACTTGATATGTATATTGAGAAAGAATTTTGATGAAAACTATAAGAATATAGTAAAAGTTATAGTGTTTCCGGCTCGGTAATGTGTACCTAAGCCCTTCGGTAATGATTAAGAAATGGAATATGGTTTTATAATGCATGAAAAAATTTGGTGAGTGGTAAAATTTGGTACCTTCATCATTATACCATAGACCATGGCATAAAAACCATTTATTCGGTTAAATTTACTCTTCACTGGGGTATTTGTTACTAAATGTGTAGTTATAAGAACTATAATTTTGAAAACCAGAATTTCCCGTCAACCGTTACCACATGGACGGTAAAATTACGAAATGAATGGTTTAATATACCGTATATTTTGGATCCATTAACCAAAAATATGATTTGGATAAAATAAACAGTAATGTTATTACTAATTTCTCCATGTAATGATGTAATGTAAGGTCAATTTTCTTCATTATTATTATAAATTTAATTCCGATATTTTTATTTGAGAAATCAATCCACTTTAATTGGGCTATCAACCTGACATTTAAAAAACCTAGGATATTTCCCATGTTTTCTTTTTTTTGCATCAAGTGCAGTAAAGCAGATGCCACTGGGCTAATTTAGTACTCAAAGACCTTATGGTGATACATGTGCATGCGTTTTAGGTATTTACGGTGAATGCACTTGTGGATAAATCCAATTCAGACTAGAGGTATAAATATCATCATCATATATTTTATCACGTTTGTGTTACGTGAATCACGTTGTGAGTTTATTTTGTCATGTTATGCATATCAATCAGTTTTTACACGATCGAAAGTTATAATTTTTTTAAAATTAATAAACATGTTTTAACTTGCATAAACTGCACACTGCGAAAAATAATATTTTTTCTTCCAAAATTGAGATAATAGTTTAAAAACAAATAGTTTAAAAACAAATAATAATCGAATTTGAAAACCACTTGTATTCAAAATTGAAACAGCATATTGAGCTATATACCTAGTCTCAAATGTGATGTGGCGTAGGAAATGTGCGAAGAAAATGTTCGTTGGCTGCCGGTAGGATTCGATCCTTGTACCTCAGTGTCGTAGTAGTGTAGTAGGGTGCTCTAACCAAAGCACCAATCTTTAGGATAAGTTAGGAAGCTTTACGTACTGGTCGTAGCAATACTAATTTTCTATTTTAATGGTACAAAGTATTGCAATTTCTATAATATAGTTTAAATAGCTAATTCAGTAATTTTAATTTTACTTTTTGATTATTTCGCTGTATCTTAAGAACTTTTAATCGAATAGAATGCATGTCATGATATGTCATTGCAGCTGCCACTATAAAAAGCTTCTGAACTCAATCTGGACTAGGTTGTGTAACTATAGTGGTTAGATCATTCTGAATCCTAGAGATCCCAGTTTTGAATCTTCCCTAATTCAACATCACTTCTGAGATTATACATTTTTATCAAAACTGAGTAAGCATTGCTTCAGTTTTGAATACATGGGGTTTTCAAACTCATAATTTTTTTGCTCAATTTCGTGAAACCCTTTTTTACATTGTACTAAAGTTGAAAAATATCGTTGTTAATTTTTTTAATTAAACTTTTTTTGCAAAAAACACATTTCTAATTTTTAATTTATCAATCCCCAATTCTACAGGGAAATAAAATGTATAATTTTTCTGTATTACATAGATTTTGTTAAATCATATATACTTATGTAGTCTAAAATTTCTAGCAAAGTAAAAATTTTAACTGTAAGACTAATAAAAACATTTTTATATAAAACATTTTATTTAATATTAGTTTAAAACATAAGAATTTTTTTGAAAACATAAATATTATTTTAGAATATATAAATAAAAATTAATTGAATCATCATTTCATTTAAATATTTAATGAAACGTTGACAGAAAGTGCTTCAATTACAATCGATGCAATAGAAAGGTAGTTTAATTTAAATAATTTAATAGATAAAAAAAATCAAATTTCACAAGTTCACAAGTTTTCAAACTAAAAAAATATTCAATTATCCTCGTTTAAAAATATTAAAAAACATAACATTAAGAAATAAATACGTATTTTTTTCATTGTCAATAATAATGATCTTACTCTAGATAGTTCTTCTAGTTTGGCGCGAGCATTTTCTAATGATTTTCTTTCTACATGATTGTGCGGCGTGTGAGCTAAAAGTTCATGAAGTGTGATAATGTAGCGTGGTACCTAAATAAAAAGAAACGACACCTAATTATTATTGTAATACATAGGCAGAATATATCCTAAAGAACAAAATCTGTTACAATCTTATTTAATTGTATGAAACAAGTAACGTTCATCTACTAAAGTGTAGACTGTTTGGAAAGTTCATAAATATCTATTTTAAAGGATGAGTTTGATTGCATATTTTTTAAAACGAAACGGAAATCTAGCTAATTAGCCAATAATAAAAGTTTCAAACTCCGTATGTATGTGTTTAAGTCATGATTTGAATATTTTATCTTATATTTAATTGTATACTTTTTAGACGGAAATAATATAAATATTTTTATGTAATAATGTAAATATTTTAGATGTAATAAATAAGAGATTACAGAGAAATGAATTTTTGTTCTTGTAAAAATGATTAAAAATATCATACTATATACATAAATCCACAATTTAAGCTACATCCTTAAGTTTATGCAATTTCATGTTCATGTTTTTTATGATTACTTTAGTTTATTTAAATCCTCAATCTCTAATCACGTATCATAATTTCGTGTTACAATAGTCAACATTTCAACAACACTATTATAATGCTAACATTCTTACCAATGTATGAATGTATAGATTTGATACTGATATTAAACAAAGTTTTCTACTTTCAAAAATTATTCCGAATACTAAAGGAACTATTTAAAAATTTCAATTATGAATTGTGTCTCTGAACAGCTTGAAAATTTTCTCTACAATATTAATTTCATAAAAAGTAATGTCAATCTGAAGTTTTTCATGGAAATTTCAAATTTCTTTAAAATGCTTACGTCATTTATGAGGGGAGGGGGTGAAATTTCTTCAAGCATTGAAGCTAATACATCAACCTTTATATACATTTATAAGAATCTAAATCTTATTATTGAAGCCATTTATAGTAGTTTAAATTTTTTCACTCAGTTGAAGCTTTAGTTATCGAGCTACTGAAGCCAATTCTAAGAGAAAAGAAACTTCTTCATATTAATAAAGCTATTTCTATGAGTTTAAAATTGTTTGTCATTAATGAAACGATTTACAGGAATTTAAAACTGCTTGAGATTCTAAGAGCTTTGAATTTAAGAATAATTTTAGTTTCTGAATTCATTTTAAGGTGTTTAAAACCGTTTAAAGCTTTTGAGATTTAAATATCAAACTACTGAGGCTACTTTTAGGAGCTTAAACTTTTTCAAGTTTTTGTTAACTGTTAGGAATGTTTCGGAGTGAAGAAACGTTAGGATTGATTCTTTTGTTAGTTAGATTGTTATGAATGCTTGGCATGCTGGAAAATTGAATAATATTTAAGTTTAGAGATCAGATCTTACTGTCGCAACTTAAGGATACAATTTTGTAATAAAGTTGTTCACGCATGCAAAATAAGTACAGTGAATAAATAAGAGTATACTTATCTTAGTAGGATAGTTTATAAATGATTGTTTTGCTAGATAGATTCTAAGTTCTACCGGTGAAAAATTCTTGTTCAAATTACGGTAGTAAGTACTGTCACCTGAAGTGCAGCATCCGTATTGTATGTGTAAGGTTCTGTAGTATTGTTCAGTCCTGATTTATTGATTTTTTTTATCCCGAACAAAGAACGCGCTTTCAGCTACCTTGTAATGAATTCCGGGTCACATTACTGCAAAAATACAAGCCAGTTTTTTTAAGGTAAAATGCATTTTTACGTCAAATTTTGAACAACAAAAAAATCTGATATACCGTAAATTTGACAGTAATATTCATTAAAAAATCACTGGCTCTCTGTAATTAAATAAACATCACGGTAAAAATTATGGAATAACATTTTACGGTAAAAATAGATTTGACGGATTCTGCACACAGGGTGCCAGTACTCTTAACAGTAATTTTATTCCGGATTTTTTAAAGTGTAAACATTCGGTATGTTAGAAAAATGAGCCATATTAAAATATCTCAAAGTTGAAAATTCTGGGTTGAATTTTTCAATACTATATTGCACACTTATCGACGGACCGAGATAGTCTGGTTGGTAAGACGTTGGACTCGTGTTCGTGAGAACAGGAGATTGAATACCCACGGCCGAAGAAACCCCGTGTATAAAATAGAGACTGGTGCAACTTAAATATGCGGGGGTCACAAAGTTCCTTAAGTTTCCATAACAAATCAATACCTCTCAGGGTACTGAACAGGAGATTGAGCATTCTCTAGTCGAGGTAAAAATTACGATCTTTGGATGAATGGATGTATGAATGGGTTTGTCCTGCAAAACAGATTGGGAAGTGTATGTGTGGCTGAAATCGTATTCTTGGCCATATATCGCGCCACTGAAAAACAAGAAACGCACCCTCTGCATTAAATTTGCTTGGTTTCCCAAGCAGACTTGCTAGCATTGGCAAGTGGCAATACAAACAACAGCACTTATCAACGAAAAATATTTATTAAATGATTGTCTACTTATCTGATTCATTGTTATGTTAAAAACGTTTGTGTATAATGTTATGTTGTTACAATTGATTATTTTGTTAGATATCTCCTACGTTATCAATAATAGGTTTGTCAAAGAGTGGAACAATTTAAATTTTCAGAGAAAAGATTTGCAATCTCGAAGGCTACCGACAGACAGTGAGATGGAGTCATACTTACCTGATGCATTGGGTACGTTAGGAAGGTTTCCAGCGTTCTCCCCTGAAGGCTGGACTTTTCTTCGAGTCTTCTGAGGATTGCGACAAATTTCTCCCTCTGCTTACATTCTGCCAATACCTGGAGACTGTAGTGGTGATTTCTCACGTACTCCTGATAGATGGTCAGCATGGGCAGCAACATGTCGAAGAGATCTCCTGGGACAAATGGGCAGCAAGCGCACTAAGTTAAGGTCATCATCGCATCAACACACACTAATTCTACAGCGTTGCCACCATGCACTAATTGAAGCCATTACACATTTCATTGCTGATCAGTGTACTCAGGGAAGAAGTTATTTTTAAAAAGGTTTCTGTCTTCAGATCTATATTTTATATCTATGTTTTTTATGTTTCTTTATATCTATATTTTTTATATCTTACTATCTGAATTTCGATATATTATCATGCGTAATACAAATATTATTTACTCGAATAATTGTAACTTTCGTTATAATTGAAATAACTGTCATAGGATTTTCTTATGCATGCAAAGCCTTCAAAAGCATTTTATTTACATGGTAATGATAAAGGAAATTTTTTCTAGACATTAATTTTGATCTGTAATCAATTTGTTGGAAAAATTTTACTTTTACTTTTTACATTTTTTGGTTGATTTTTGCAAGGATTTTAGTACACTTAGCCTTGCAACATAGAATTCCACTAAAAACAAAAAGGAATTCCTTTTATGCATATGTATTTTATATTCCTGTTTATTCATTTTATTGAGTATTATGGCAAAGTCTTGTTTATAGAGTAATTTTTCAATTAAATTCAGCGAGTATTCCCATATATATATGACATGTACAGGCTGAGATCTATTGGAGTTTGAATGATTAGTACGTAAGCAATCTATACACTGAACCAACGGTCTTTTTATTTACTTAGCGTCGACATTAAACAATAGAAAGAACAACTCGTAATGTTTAAATCTCATCCTTGGTCTTTTGAGCTCAAACCCGAGTGAAAAAAAAGACATTCAAATCATTGACACAAACTTGCCACCATGCAGATCATTTTAAATGAAGCTTACCTTCATTTCCCTTTTGTGAAATGCTGACCACATTACCACAGTCAAGTTAAGCCTAACATTTAAGCCTAATTAATTTTGTCTTAATCTTAACTTCAATCAGGCCGATGGTCAGAAAATTGTAAAGTTATAACCCCCGTGGCCCTCTGGACTTATAATGGGCTCTTACGAGAATGCTTCTAGTAGAGGAAGAATTACTTTGCTTTCTTTAAATCTATGATTTTCCATCCAAATCCAATAGATTTTCGTATTAGGCAAAGTTAATTATTATAGTAAGAATCATTTTCAATACAGGAGTAAGTGGTGTTGCTCATTTTGTAAGTTCTTTGAAAATCCAAATTGTTATTTAATATTTGATTGTAAGAAATTTTTAAATATTTAATATTATGCTTCTTAAACATACATTTCCCTGAGTGCAACTGCATAAAGCTTGAGAAAATACCGAGCTAAATAAAGGCACTAAGCAGGACTTACTAACCATGATAAAGCACTTACTATGCTAAGCAGTACTTACTAACCTTGATAAGCAGCACTTACTAACCATGGTATACCAGCATTACTTTTGACTCTAGAATGCATGCGGTGCAGCTCGAAGCGTTACACATTTATCCTACTGTGCTAGCATTTTCTACAATTCTACGAACAACAGCACTAATTACAGCATTTATTTGCATCAGAAAAAAATTAGAAAATTATACAAAATAATGTGAAACTTTTAGCATAGTTTCGTCTTCCTTAATGTATAATAAATTTTAGCTATTACATATGTTACTCAGAGGTGCCAACTAATACGATTTAACTGCAATTATTACGATGTCATAAGATTTCGGTGTTACGGTTGAGTTATACAATCTACGGTTTTTGAGAATAACGACCAAGAATTATGAAAATTTGTTGCTTATGAATTTAATGGTAGAAAATTTAAAAAAGTTATATAATCCACTTTCCATAATCTGTTTTATATAAAGTTTCTCCCATAACAACTAAGAATTATAAAAAAAAATTTATGAATTTGAAGGGAAAAAATGAAAGTTGGATAATTCATTTTCCATAATCTGTTTTAATTAAGGTTTCTCTTGTAACAGCCACGAATTATGAAAATTTGTTGTTTATAAATTTAAAGGGAGAAAATAAAAGTTGGATAATATGTTTTAAGTAAGGTTTCTACTATAACGACCAAGGATTATAAAAAATGTTGTTTGCAACTAATTTGCGATATTTTTTTCTACTCTTTAAACATTTAGAAAAAACAAAAACAATTTGATGGATATGCGGAATAAAAAAAATCTCCTCTTTTTGTATTTTAGAAAATCTGCACTGAAAGTAAATCTTCTCTAGTATACGAAAGCAAAAGACCATTAACTCAAATCTAAAATGTCGTGAGAAAATTTTTTTTTAGTTCAAATGCAGTTTGAAAAAAAAGCAATAAGGGCTAATGCTAATTTAATCAAAAAAGGGAATAAGTTTAATCTTAACATTTTATAAAGAAGTATAAAATTTCGATGTTACATAATTTTTAATTTAGCACCGTTATCAAATTGTTACCTTTTTAATTAATAGTAAATTCATACAAAATATTATTATTATCATATACCTATGTAGAATTTAATGGTATATACACCTTAAAATTGCGCTAACTTTAATTTCACAACCTTAACTGTATACACTTCTATGTTATTGTACTATTTAATGGTGATTGATAGTTTGGAAAGTTGGAATCTCTGATAATTATTTAAAGATCTGATTAGTAATACCAAAATATAAAAGCTCTCTGATTTAAGTTTATTAAACAGTAAATACACTATGCATTCCTTAATATTCAAATATAAAAAGGTATTTGATAAAAATTAAGTCTAATATTAAGTACACAAATATTCCGCAATAGGTTGATTGATTCAGGAATACGCTTGTTAAAGTATTCAAATGCTCTGAATTAGGTTGATTTGCAAATAAGCAAGATGATTAAGCATAAAAATATCTGTATAAATTAAATAAAGTTAATAAAAATGACCACAATTGAATTCGAAATTTAAAATCTAAAGTTTTGAATTACAGTACAAAAACGAATTGGTTGATGTTTTACAAGGTGTGATATCAGTTTAAATGTTTCTGTCTTTAAATAAAGTTAAATTGTTCCAAATTGCGAATAAAAATTAGACGTTAAAAGGTTTTAAAGGACTCAACTAATTGTTTCCAAATTTTTGACATTTTAAATAGCAACAAAAGCAAAAAGTTATTAATTTTTATTTTAGAAAGGTTCATTTGTTATTGTTAGTGCTTAGAGTAAAGATAAAGAAAGAGAAACTTTTTTTTATAATAAAAACATGCCATAACTAATTGAAGAAATAAAACTACTTAAACTCAGTGCGCTAACATGAGACTTCTAAACATATTTTATGAAATTTAAATACAACAGCATTAGTTACAAATGAAACTGTAGTGAAAATTATTAATTAAATGTATTATTTTAAGTAAATATAAATGAAAAAGAAATTGAATTACATTTAGAAATTTCATTTAAAATTACACCTCTCTCTTATTAGTTGTTTTAAAATTTTATTACTCATTGATCTTTCAGTTGGAATCATTTGATGATTTAATATTGTTTTATATTAGTTTATATTTTCAAATGAAATGTTTCATCGGATTTGAATGTATGTAAACAATAAAAAATAAGGATTTGAGAATGACCTCTTACTTCCTTTTTTTAATTGAATGCAGGTGAAAAGTAAAAATAATTTGTGAATGAACCTTTACTTCTTTTTTCCAATGTAAACAAACAATAAAAATAATAATTTGTGAGTGATTACTTTTTTTTTTGAATGCCAGAAAAAAACAATAAAAATATTTTGTGAATGTCCCATTATTTTTTTTCCTAAAAATTGTTAGATGAGATTATTAAATTATTTATTTGGATAATTTTGTTTTAAATAAACAGAACTTTTCAAATTGAAATAGTTTTTTGCAAGAATTAGTGAAATTTCACCTTCTTTGTATTAAGCTCTCCCTCTCTCTTTCTCTCTCTCTTTCTCTCTCCCTCTCTCTCTCTCTCTCTGTCCTTCTTCTTTGATAAACAGTTGTAATTATTGATTTGAATAAAAACATATTTCTTCATATTTTTACTAAAGTATCTTGAACTTAGCTAAAATGAGTACGTATTTTAATAATGTTGCATTGAAGAATGTTATCTAAAAGAATATTTTAATGTGCATCAGGTTTTTTTTAGATATACGCCTTTTGATCCATTGAAATTACCGTAATGTTTGAGGAAATAGTTATGGAACTTGTGAGTTCTTGAAATTGGTTTCTTATTTCAATTTTAACTTCTCTTTAAATAAATGAAGACATTTTAAAATACTTTTAGGAAAAGGCAGTATTTTGTAAGTTATGCAATCTTTACTATTTTGTAATAAAATAATACATATGAAATCAATTGAGGTGCTTTTTAAATTGATTATTTTATTAACTTTGCTTGTTTTTTATTAATTCGATTCCGTTAAATTAATTTGGTTTTAAATGAACCGAACTTTTTCAAACTGACATGGCTACTTACAGGAATCAGTTAAATTTTCCTTTCTCCGTATTAAGTTTTTTTTTTTTTTAAATTTAAAATCAAGCGTATTATTGAGTAAAATAAAAAGTTATTTTTCACAAAAGCTATAACTAGCTTAAAACGTGTTCAAATTTTAATAATTTTTCAATGAAAATATTATTTAAAGATCTTACTAATGTGCATCATTTTCTTAACAGCTATATTACCTTTTACTCTATAGTAATTGCTATAATGGTATAGAAAATCAATATAAAGATTGTAATTTCTTAAAATCATTTTCTAATTTCAATTTTAACTGAAATAAATAAGTGATGGCAATTTTAAATACTTTTATAATGGGTAATACTTTGTAAGTTAGACCACTTTCATGGTTTTTTAAAAAAATTATATGAATTGTTCAAGTATTTTTCTTATAGTTAAATAATAAAACAGACATATTAATACTTAAATAGAATTTCACTTCTTTATGCATGAGCTAAATTTTTTAAAAATCATTTTCTAATTTCAATTTTAACTTAATTAAATAAATGATGGTATTTTTAAATAATTTAATAATGGGCAATACTTTGTAAGTTT